TCTGCACTTGGGATCCAAACCAGTGAACCCTGGGCCGCCAAAGTGGAACGTGCAAACTTAACCGCTCTGCCACCAGGCTGACTCCTCATTTAATTCTTTTTAATGCAAAATACAGACAACAACTTCACTATGCTAGAGGAGCAAAATGAATCCCTTTCAATATATATCACTGCCTGATAGCCTTAATATCAAATGAACAATTGAACCTGGCTCCCCATTTAAACTTCTGGGCAACAAAGTACCATTGGAGAAAGCTACACAACTGTGCTAACTTAGGTAGACTGAAAGATGTCTGAATCCACTGCTGAAGCTATAGATTCCACCTTATTTCAATGTCTGGTGCAATTCCCAGGATCTCCTTCCTCTTCTCCCCATCATCCTCAGGACCAAACTTTAAGGGGTACTAAAACCCAGGTCTCCACATAGGACTTCTAACAGACAGAATTGGTAAAATGTAAATTCATCTTATTATATTCTCTAGCTAACTTCATTTACACTTTTTAAAAGCTGAATAAATATTTAAAGAATATCTGTTTGAAAGGGCACTTAATTATTAGCCAGCCTATGGCTCTTACTTGATTTATCTCCTACATCATAATTTAAATTTGACCTTTGCCACTGTCAGTAATGCTTCTATTCACTTTTTTGCTAACTTCCTGGTACATTCTCTAAATTGTTCTCTCTCTTTTTAAAGCCCCAGTATCTTTCTCTCAGGCTCTTTGATTTGTTTTCTAATGTAACAGGAAAATTTGAAGGCAACTGATTTGAGCTAACTCAGCATCTCATGCTCCCCTTGAAATTTCCTCCAGTGTCAGAGAGAAAGCACGTCTCTCACTTTCAGTGCCAGCTCCACTGCTCAATCTCCTGATCTCAGCCTCTCAACCATTAGGGTGATTCCTAGGAGCCCATGCCTCTTCTTTCTGGAATATTCAGGCTTTTACTCACTAGTAGCTAGTTTTGTCTTCATATATATGGAGATTCACTCTGTTACCTCTTTCAAAAAGTCTTCTGTTCCAGCCTCATTGCTTTCCTTCCTTCGTCTGTCATATTCTTCATATTATACCTGCCTCTATTCCTAATACCATTTTCTTCAGTAATATCTTGCAATTTGATTTTTAACAACCTATTCAATGAAAAATGTTTCATGCAAGGGTTCCAGGTGACTTTCTTCGAACAATAGTTAGCGCCATTTCGTCACTTCATTTTCCATAACATTTTGCTTCATTTAATACAATTTATGGGTTCATAAAACCCTTCCTCTTATGATGCCCATGAAACAATAGCATTCCACTTCCCATCCATGACTATGTGAATTCATTAACATTGTATTTAGGCTTTTATTCTTTATTTTTACTTCCTCAATACTACATATCACCATGCCTTCCAATATCACCGATTCCAGTTCTCAAGTTAGCCAATCAATACTCTTCCTGATCAGTCTCCAGCTCATTATCAAATCCAGCATCCATTTATGTCTTCACATTCTTTGCCAAAGTCTTTCCCATCTCTGCCTTGACTCATGTAGCAAAGCCCATGTGGAATGCCTTCCTCTGTGCCAATCTAAATCCAATGTACCCATCCTCCAAGGTCAGCTGAAGTTCTACTTCTTCCATTAGGCCTTTGCCAAGCATTGCAGTACATTTACGCTTCTGTCCAAAACCACATTAGACTTGTGGTCTGCTTGACAAAATGGTACCTCCTAATTATCTCTAGTTACCTCAAATATGTAGGCCTTGTTTTACCAACTATCCCTCTGAAAGCATGAACATAAGGTTTTATTCTCTGACAGCCCAGCAGTGTGTTCGGCATATCGAAATTGCTTAGTGAACTTGTTTAATGGCTTAATACTAAACAAATATTATTGACACAAGTAATGATAGTAATATCATGACACTGATAACTCTACTTTGAGTGAAACAAGGATTTTAAAAACTACTTAGAAGGCCACAGGCAGTATGACATAGTGGTTAAGAGTGTGAGCGCAGACTGTGTGGGTTCAAATCCTGCCTCTACCAACTATTGGCTAGGTGACCTTTGGAAGGTTAATTAACATCTTTCTGTCTAAATTTCCCTCCATGAAAATAGGGGAACATAACAGTACCTAGCTTCTGGGGTCATTATGAAGATCAAATGAGTTATGTCAGATACTTAAAACAATTTCTGGCATGTAGGAATTGCTCCATGAACATCAACTATTATTAAATGTTCATTACACGTTGAATGGTAGTATCTCAGAGCTAAAAGAGCCTTTGCTTTGTAAATGAATGAGTTGAGGAACAAAGGTAAAATGATTGGTTCACGGGCATACGGTTGATCAGAGGCAGAGTCAGGAAACCAGTCTTCTGACTTCTATTGAGTGTTTGTTTTTTTCCTCCCCAAGGATTCTGTATCTGAACATGGAACTGAATTATAGAAGTTCAGAGTTGAAAGACACATTCAAGTCTCTCTAGTTCAACTTTTCGATAAGGGACCATACTGCAAGCATGATCACCTTCCATCTTTGCTGACAGCACCATTTCACAGATTCTTAAACACTCAGACAAAAAGATCCTAACAGAACTTTAGGCTCCCAAGTTAACAAACACAAGAAGGATAGGAATGGATGCCAAGGTCAGGTCCCCTGAGTTCAGATGACTATTATTAGATGAGGCCATTTTTAATATCTATCTTTTGAAAAATAATATTTATTTCTCAGGGAAAACATTGTCTGGAATACTCATTATAAAGCCACGATTCAAGTCATCCCACACATACGCGAATGTTTTGCAGATAGTATGCTTCCTGCTAGGAGCCTGAAATTATGATTTGATGAACTCTGAACAATACTCTTTAGCAGCCAGAAAAAGGCACAGAGCCAACTACCCATACCAGGCATAATTCCTGAAGGTTTCAGCGTTCTGTATGGTTCTCTGGAACAATATTCAGCCTGGTTGTGCGATCAGCTGTGCTGGTGTTTTAGAATTCAATCTAGCAAATACACACTCTCAAGAGGAATTGCAGCAACAAAACATTGCTATTCAATAAGCACAAACAAACCCGTGTGTAAGGGTTCTCTCATCAGACGCAAGAGCATGTTGCTCTGTCTCAATTCAATGTTAAGAGATTTAATTTCTCCTTAATGCAAATAACATTGTTGTATGTAACAGCAGCAATATGGGAGAAGGTTAAATTGAGCAATTATATTGCGCATCCACAAAGAATGTGCATCTATTTCCAGCCCCCTCCACTCTACAAACAAGACTCAGAATCCACATTCTCTGTTTATGATTATTTAAAATGCCTGATTTTAGTGTATGGACTCTAAGCTTTATGGTTTGGCATTTTAATCCTCAAACCAAGAAGGTCCCATTACTTGAATCTGAAAGTTGAATTACCTTCTTTATACTGAAGACTGAACAGAGGGCCTCCAATGATCCCACAGAGGATGCATCATTCCTGCTTTGTGCTTCGATAGTATTTTATTTATATCTCTAACTTTACTCATGATAATCTGACTCATTACACCCAGTTAGATGTCTCCTTTGTAGACTATAAACTCCTGAGGATAGAATTCATATCTTATTTATCTCTGTATTCTCCCAGAGCCTTACAATGTCTTGGACACAGACGCTGCTCAATAAATGTTTGGTATTTAGTTTTAACGGTATATATGTTAAACATTTACCAATTTTAAGTATTATTAATGGATTCCTACCTTTGACATACTTTTTCCTTCCCATTTATGAGAAATCTTGCCTTTGAAATGTGAAAAACTTTAGCAGACTGACACTGTAATTTAGATGGCTATGTAAACAGTAAAGGAGTGCCTAGCAATTAGTTCTTGAATTGTAATTTTATGAAAATTTCCAGAGGATTCTTTTGAGCCCTCAGTTGTTTACAGGGACCCAACCATCTCAGTAGGGCAGAGGAAAAGAAAGAACTCAGAGGAATGACTGGGAGGGTATCCCAGAAAGACAACTGTGCCTTCTAGAAAAAAGATCCAGCACTCAGTCCTGACTCCAGGACCCAGAAAGCATGTTAGGATCACAGCATTCCCAAGGCCTTTCTCCTTTAACAGTTTTCCTCAGAAATCGCCAGTTTGATGTTCAAGAAACACTTAATTCATGCCCATTAGGCCCACAGACACTACTTGCTATGTGATTTGTAGCATCCAGCCCAAAATAAAAACGCAGCTCTTGTTCAAAAATTAAGAATTTCAAGACAATCATGGTAGAACATTAAGGCCAGTGTGAGCCCTTCTAAGCACAGGGTGCCATATGACTGCATGGGTCTCAGGTCTATGAAGCCAGTCCTGTTCTGTCTTCAAAGAGCTTCCAGTACAGTGAAAGGCAAAAGACCTGGAAGGGAAAGAAGCTACAATTCAAGTGCGTACATGTGGCTCCAGGAACCCACAAGTTCTTAACTTTGTAAAATTGTCCCCAAGAAAGTGACAGTTAAGTTCATTTTTGAGGGAGGAGTGGCAGAGAAGAAAGATATTAGACTGAAGGAAGGCAGAACTCACTTGACGCATTTCAGGAATAGGGTTACTTTTAAGGAGAGTGGAGCAAGTGAACATGAGGGTGACATAATTGAGATTGAGAGTGGAAAGAGGCAGAGGACAAATATATGGAGGAAGGGAATAAACAATTATTGAGTGCCTACTGTATGCCAACTTCTTTCCTCCCATGCCATAATCTCAAACACCCACAACAATCTTGTAAATTAACTGCCATGTCTATTTCACAAATGGGTTAGTTTAGATACAGGGTAGTAATGTTCAAAGGGCTTGGGACACTTCAGGCATGCAATAAATATTTGAGGAATGACTGGCGGGTCTGTCTGACTTCAGGCCCAGGAGGACTCAATTCCAGACCAAGCTGATTTTAAGCGCGCTTTTAACTGCCCCAGGTGTCCTTTCTGCATCTCTCCAGAGCCCACAGATACCCATCCTGCCCTCTCCTCGCCCCGCCCCCGCCTTTCCACGTGCCGGAAATTGGGCGGCAAAAGTACTTCCGGGGTAGCAAAGGTCGGCCCCGGCAAGATGGCGGCCCCCTTGGAGCTCAGTTGTTGGGGAGGCGGCTGGGGGCTCCCATCGGTACACAGCGAGTCCTTGGTGGTGATGGTGAGGCCGCCTCGCGGGCCAGCGCGCGGGAGAGAAGGGGCGGGGCCGGGGGCGCGAGGCTGGCCGCGCCCGGCCCGGCGGCAGGACGCGGTCCCCCGGGCGCTGGGCCGAGGCTGGCCGCACCGCTGCTCGCTGCACCGCCCCGGGCTCCATCCCGTCGACGAGCCACAGCCTGGCCTGTGACCCCGCCGAGGCCTGGCGGGAGAGTCACAGCTTCTCCGCTCGGCTCCGAGTCTTCTCAGCCTTGAAAGCTCTCTGGTTGTGGAGAGAAAGCCGCGCCCCTCTCTGCACCCCCGGAGCTTTTGGGGAAAAAGTCCCCGAAAGCTGGGTATTTTGCGCGCGCGTCCCTGGCTAGAGATCCGGGAGGGACGCGGCCCCCGTGTCCGGCGTTTCTGCCTTCGGGGGACCGGGCTGTGAAGGAAAGCTGCTCTGCAGACTTGCATTACGTACTCAGTCTAAAATGTTTCCTTGCAAACTCTGTTTCAGGCGTACGCCAAATTTTCTGGTGCACCCTTGAAAGTCAATGTCATAGATAACACCTGGAGAGGTTCAAGAGGTACAGTGTAAACTTTTAAACACCCCTTTCCGCCGTCTTAAAGACCGCCCCCCCCCCGCCCCCTATTTAAAAGTTTGAGGCATATAGCCATGGAATACCTTGGGGTTTTAGTTTCTTCTTACCATGACCTTGGCTGTGTGTTGCTTATGGTTTGATCATTCTGAGTAATACTTCAAAGAACAAGCCAAATCAGTGGAAATTATGAGAAATCACAATGTTCTCTAAAACTGCTCTTTGTGAAATTGCGAAAAACCAAGATGAGCTTGCTCATTTTTTCCCCCTCCAAGTATGCAACTGGTATAGTTTTAGGGTATTGGAATCTCTTCAGAGGAAATAGAAATGTTTCCTTGTATGTAAACTACTTTTTAATTCTAGGCGATGTACCAATTTTGACAACTGAAGACAACATTGTTTCTCAGCCAGCAAAAATACTAAACTTTTTAAGAAAACAGGTGGGTGGTTCCTTTTGAAGAAGTAGATTGTTGATCCCTGCATGTTACTTTTTTAATACATTTTAAGGTTTGGGGTTTTTTTTTAGAGTTCTTTTTTGCCAACTCAGTAGACAGCTGGAGATACCTGAGATTTGATATGAAAATAGACTTGAAAATTACTGCTTAAAATCATGAGTTGTACTGTGATTCAAAAATCATATAGTGAGGTGTAGTCAATTTATATTTTCATGCACTTTGCTTGGATTTTTTGAAGTTTAGATAAAAGCAGATTCTATTTAGTCATCTTCACTATTACAGTTGTTGATATGACTGTCAGTTTAGCTACACAGTTGGTAGGCATTTTGTGCTGGGTATGACTGAATTCTTACCCACCAGCAACTATTTATTTTATTTTTTAAAAGCACTTAACTAATAGTTGCAGTTAACTGTTTCATGAAATAATGTATCTAAAATGTTTGAACATGTAAGACTTATATAATGTATCCGAAATGTTTAAAATGTAAAGATTTATATAAATGCGAAAGTTATTATTGGTTTTGTCTATTTTCTTTTAAGATTTTATTTTTTTTCCTTTTTCTCTCCAAAGCCCCCAGTACATAGTTGTATATTCTTCGTCGTGGGTCCTTCTAGTTGTGGCATGTGGCACGCTGCCTCAGCGTGGTTTGATGAGCAGTGCCATGTCCGTGCCCAGGATTTGAACCAATGAAACACTGGGCCACCTGCAGCAGAGTGCGCGAACTTAACCACTCGGCCACGAGGCCGGCCCTTGTCTATTTTTTTTTTTTAAAGTCCTCTGTCAACAAAATTTAGAACTTTTATAAACTGGAAGGTTTTCTTTTTTCATGGGGAAAAATGCAACCAATTAGAACCTTTTCCTTATTGTTAACAAAAATAATAATACCTTCTATTTATTAAGTTTGTACTACATGCCATGCACTGAACTAGGTCATTAACAGTCATTGAAATAATAGCAGTTAAAAAAATGATCACTAACGTCTATTGACTTCCTGCTGTGCTAGGAACTTTATTTGCATTAAACAGTATTTGTCATTGAATTTGTATTTCTCTTTTCCCCTTTTAGTATCACGTTTGCCATGTTTGAGGAAGAATAGGAATCCTAATTTATTGAGCTTCACTGTTTTGGGATGCTCTTGACTTCTGAGGTTTTTTGCGTTTATATTTTTTAATAGAAATATAATGCTGATTATGAACTCTCAGCGAGACAAGGAGCAGATACACTGGCTTACATCGCTCTCCTTGAAGAGAAGCTTCTTCCGGCAGTGGTGAGCGCTGGTGAATATTACAGTATTTTAGTCACTTGCTGGAAATGTACTAAGCCTATTTAGAAGAAAAATAATGAAAAAGGCTTAAGACAGGAAATTTTATTTAAGTATTAATCTTGATTCTTTCATGTTACTGTGAAACTAGATTCCATTAGACATTCAACTAGTATGTGAAACAACAAAGTGAAAGATAATGTCATTTTGGAAATAAAAGTTCTTTGTGGAAGATGGGGTTTGTTACTCCATGTATAGAATTGGGCAAACTGTAATTCATTCATTCAACAAATACCTATTGAACACCTGCTGTGTGCCAGGCCTTGTTCTGGGAGCCTGGATATAACAGTCACAAAACCCACATGTGTAAAATCTTGTTTTAATCCTTGAGTCTTTCTCACTGGAAAATTTGTATGGTCACTTTATATGAAGGTATTTATGAAAAAAAACTTCCACATGGATTGAGTGATTTTTCTGTTAGTAAAAGAACATCCTTGTAGTGTGTTTTCCCTTTTTTTTTTGCAGCTTCACACTTTCTGGGTTGAGAATGACAATTACTTTACTGTGACAAAGCCATGGTTTGCGTCACGAATTCCCTTTCCCTTGAGTTTGATCCTGCCTGGAAGAATGTCTAAGGGAGCCCTGAATAGGATTCTCCTGACCAGAGGAGAGCCTCCGCTCTACCACCTCCAGGAAGTGGAAGCGCAGGTATGGTTGGGATGACCTTCAGAGCAAGGGCCCTCCAGAGGAGGGATGAGAGAGGTGGCCGAGATGAACTTACCCATAGATACCTGCCTAAAAAGACGTTCTAGAGCATCTTTCCTACTGTTGAGATCTTTCCTACTGTTCATCCTTATTAGATATACAGAGATGCCAAGGAGTGCCTAAATCTTCTGTCACACAGACTGGGGACATCTCAGTTCTTCTTTGGAGATATGTGAGTGCATTCCTTTAAAAATGATTTTGATGTTTTATGTGCATATATTCAATGAGCAGTTATTTAAAGCAAGTTCCCATGTCCCCTCTCACCCCCAAAATGAGTTTTTCACTTGAAGAAAAAGATTTAATAGATTTTTACTGTAGGAAACTTTTTCTTTTGATGGTAATCTAACATTGACTTAATATACTACATCTGTGAATTTAAAACATCTAAAACTATTCCCACCCTGTCTGCAGTCTCTATATAAACTTGAAAGTAAAAATGAATCTTTAAGTTATGACTTAATTTTCTTCTAAATAAGATAAGTGGATAGAACATTTTTTAAAAACTAGTAATGGGCTGGCCCTGTGGCCTAGTGTTAGGTTTGGTGTGCTCTACTTCAGGGGCCCTGGCTCAGTTCCCGGGCATGGACCTTTACCACTCATTGGTGGCCATGCTCTGGTGGCAATCTACATACAAAATAGAGGAAGATTGGCACAGATGTTAGCTCAGGGCAAGTCTTCCTCAGCAAAAAAAAAAAAAAAAACTAGTAATGAGTAAAACCCTAGTTGCATCATTTTTGTAAGCTAAAATCAGTTGTAAACCTTTTTAAAAGGCTATATTATATCCTTCAGAATTGACAAATATATTTGAGAAAAAAATTTTTTTTTTTTTTTTTTAAAGATTTTATTTTTTCCTTTTTCTCCCCAAAGCCCCCCGGTACATAGTTGTGTATTCTTTGTTGTGGGTCCTTCTAGTTGTGGCATGTGGGACCCTGCCTCAGCGTGGTCTGATGAGCAGTGCCATGTCCGCGCCCAGGATTCGAACTAACGAAACACTGGGCCGCCTGCAGCGGAGCGCGCGAACTTAACCACTCGGCCACGGGGCCAGCCCCGAGAAAAAAAATTTTTAACATAATCCCAAGTTAATATTTTCTTACATGCATTTAAAAAATCCTTAATTTATTTTTAGGCCTTCTACCCTGGATGCCTACGTGTTCGGTTTTCTTGCACCTCTTTATAAAGTACGCTTTCCTAAAGTTCAGCTACAAGAACATTTGAAACAGCTCTCCAACCTGTGTCGCTTTTGTGATGACATCCTAAACAGTTATTTTAGGCATAGTCTTGGAGGTAAGCTGGCTCCTCTTCAGCTCAGCTTTATCTGCGTAGAATATTTGCATATTCTCCTAGGACTGTATAAGCAAAATTCATTACTTATTGAAGAAGTTTGTGCTTTGTCTTTAAATGCTGGTTTATAGCACCTCAAAAAGTTGCATTTTTCCAACTTTATTTTTGTTTCCATGTGTTCTTATTTAAATAGAGAAATAGATATTTGCCTTTTGTCTGATCTTCAGAATTTTATACATTTCTTGCTGCTTCTTTTTTAAATATTGCCCCTTTGAAGTGGGTCATTTTCTTCTAAAAGTTAACCACAGGTATTTATTGAGGACCTGCTGAAAGATAGAATTTATCCTAATGCAAATGGGCAATTACTTTAAATGTTGCTTCTAGCATTTTCCTGCGTGAACAGAAATCAGCAGCAGACTGATTTTGGTGAGGTACATGCCCATGATTCCACTCCTTGAAAACTGATTGCATCAGACTGGAGGTATTGTAAATAGAGGGCATCTGTCACTTAGGAGATGATTCTTTGGGAGTGTGGGGCCTTGTGCTTAAGTGATTGGGATACTCAATTTGTATTGGGAGAAACTGTCCTTTTAAGAAGCAGAAGTTATAAGGACAGCTGGCTTAGGGGCAGTTTATTTTTATGGTGGGTTATGTGTTTTGTATGTTAACGGGTTAGTAGTTTGGGAGTCATCAAATTAAGTAACTTTCAACTTTGCTACTTTGGAGCAGTAGTTAGCAAATCTGACTATAGGACAAATACGAAATCTTGGGTCACATACCAGATTTCCTGAATTAGAATCTCTTAGGGGTAGATCTCAGGAATCTGTATTTTTTTAAGTCCCTCCAAATACTTGGGATGCCTGGTAGGTAGCCCTTTGGGAGTCACTGCCTTAGGAAGCTATCCACACAGTTATGACTGAAGACCTGTTTGGGATGGGTGGGGAGAAGGTGCAGCTGGGATTTGAGAGGGAAGTGAGGACAGCTGTGCTCTTGTACCGATCACTTTGGCTTGCTGCCTAACACACGGCCAACAGTGTCTACTTTGTGGACACGTGAGTCCTTTGTTTAGGGTTTGGTTTTGAAGCATTACTGTCCCTCTTAGCTGCCTTTGAACCCACGGTGGTTTTTCTCCTTGCCTTTTTTTTGGGGGGGTGCAATTGCGAGGTGGATAGATTCAAAATTCTTTCAATCTAAACAGCTTTCAAGGCTTTCAGCACTTCCTGTCTTTCTGATTTCTGTCCTGGCTTCTTAGGCATCTCTCCTGCTGGACAAGAAACGGTCGATGCCAATCTGCAGAAACTCACCCAGCTTGTAAATAAGGAATCCAACTTGATTGAAAAGGTCAAGTTCCCTTCAATCATTCTATAGTAGTTTAGTATGCTCCTTTCTGCAATTAATATTGTAATTGGGATTATGCATTAACTTTACCCTCTTAGATTTTTGGAAGAGTTTATTTTTTCAGAAAGCTGTTTAAATATACATTTACTGAAGTTTTATATAATAGTGTTTTGAAGCCAGTAATGGCCTGATTGTTTTGGGGAAAGATCTGATAATGGGATTGGGTTTACTTTTACCACACAATTAGTATTTTTCAAATTAGGAGACCCAAAAGTCTGACTTTAAAAAAAAGAAGAGAAAAAATACTTCTTACTTGCCTGCTTCTGTCTCTGAAGTGTTTCTTGAGATTGTAAGCATCTGTGCTTTTCTTTTGTTGTTAATAGCACTGTAATGTCTTTTCCTTTCTTGCACATAAACGGTTTTATATGTTGTCTACAATTTTTCACCAGTGTGGATATTTGGCCACTTTGGGGTGTTCATTTGGTGAGAGAGATATTGAGGAACTGGGTGGAGGAGAGAGCCAATAATAGAAATTTCAAGGGTGATTCTGATAGGAAAAATACAAGAGAGCTATGCATTTCTTTCCTGTCTGATAAACTTGCTTTTTTTCTTATACAAATGAATACTTCACTCTTTCACAAACTAATGGGGCAACGTGGCCAGATAACACTAGCTAGCAGTTTTCGAGGTCTGCGTACTAGGTACTGTGATGTCGGAGCTTTATCTGAGTGATCTCATTTAATCCTCCCAGCAGCTCTACCGATCGCGTGCAGGTACTCGATCATCCCGTTTCACAGATGAGGAGTAGCTTATGTCCCTGCCCAAGGTCATTCAGCTGGCAAGAGGTAGAGAGGGAATCTGAACAGTAGAAATTGGATTCCAGCATGGGCTTTGCAGTTAGTCAGCCATCTAACTCAGGAATGAAATTATGTATCCATTGCCAGTAGTCCTCAGAGCCAAGTTTATAGCTGCCACTCTCTGGAATAACTGTTCTGTTTGTTTTTCTAGTATTTCCTGTGTTGTTAGAACTTGAGAAGTGACTAAAACTGCACAGTACAATTGTAAGAGTTGGTGGTTACGGTTTGAATAAACTGAATGAAAGCCAAGTTTGTCTTAATTCTTAGCCCAGCCCAGTAAATCTCATGAGAGGAAAAATACTGAGTGTTAAGTGTGGATAATGGAAAGATTACTCAGACACCTACCTTCTGGATGAAGGCTATCCAGTACAGTTTTCGTTTTCTGTAGGTGGCAGATTCATGACAGACATGTAAAGGGAACCATGAAATACCTACATATGCAGAAAGTTAAACCAAGAGGCCCTGTCACCACTTTGTGCACTTCCATCTTGGGTTGTCATCGTTATGTGAAAGTTTCCTGACCCTATATCAGGCATCCCCTCCACGCCACCTCCCCCCCCCACCCGCCCCTTTCATATCTGCTCTTCAGTATGGCTCACTGTTGGCTACAAGACATTGGAGCAACAAATCCTATTGGCTACCACTGTGCACCATTTGGACAGAAAATCTAGAGCTTGTAAAAAGAAAGAGTTATTTTAGAGGAACTTACTTTTTGCAGGAAAAAAAGACATTGATTCAAATATTTCACTGGGAATACTTTCTTCCATTGGAAAGTTAAAAGTTAATCTTTATTCTCTTGCTTTCCTATTAATCCTGTGTACCTCTGCTGAAACATTTCCTCTGTGCTTTATGAGAGCATCTTGAGAAGCTAAGGGAGAGTTTTGCTCTGCACATATTCAAAACTAAAAACGCCCGCCCACCAAGTGGGTAATAAGATGCTGTATTTTGTTGGTTTTGGGTCTTTGATGGCAGCTTCTTTCAAGTCTTTTATGAAGTTAAGCTGAGAGTGAGCTCACCGCCAGGGCCTGAATCTCACACTCTGTTTGTGGGGTGCTCTGGCTAAAGGCAGTTTTCTGAGGTGTGACTCAGTTCTAAATAATCCCACTCCTAGTGTTTCCAGGGATGCTAACGTACTCTTTAGGGAAAGTCTGAAACTCTTGAACATTTTCTCAGTATGCTCCATGTTAACTTGTTTCTCTGGGGCAACTATAGAACTGATCCAATGTTTGGAATGCCTCTGGATTAGGCCTAAAGAATCGAGCCTTCTTTCTGTCTCTTTTCCTGTCTTTCCTTTGTCAAATGCAGTCATGTATTGTTTAGCAACAGGGATATGTTCTAAGAAATGCATCGTTAAGTGATTTCGTTGTGTGAACATCAGAGCATCCGTACACACACCTAGATGGTGCAGCCTACTACACACCTAGGCTCTGTGGTCCTAATCTTACGGGACCACTGTCATATATGCATTCCATTGTTGACTGAAAAGTTGTTACGGGGCATATGACTGTACTCACAGCCTACAAGAGGTGTTCTTTTGGGGTGGAGTACAGGTCGTTTTCATGGAGGCGATGAGGTATCGTTGAAAGAACAATAGTGTCAGACCAGGAAGACTTGGGTTCACATTTCAGCTCTGATGCTAGCTGTGCAACCTAATGCAAGTTCCTTAACCTTTCTTTGCTTTATTTTGTTGCTAATCTGTAAAGTAGAGGATGATTATGTCTGCCTTTTTTTCTTCACAATTGTGTTGGGAAGATCAAATGAGGTATTGTACATGAACATACTTTGTAAACTGTGGAGCTTGGTGTAACAGAAGTATTGGTTTTACTTCCTGTGAGAAGACCTCTTAAACCAAGTTGTGCTGCGATTGAGTTCAGTAGAATATTCATTCTGTGGAATTACTATAGTTTTGTGAAGGCATCAAGGATGAGCCATATTGCTTTTGTACATATACTGAGTCAGCTGGTATTTGAGGTATGACATTTAGAATTCTTGAGAGATTATTTGCAAGAAAAAGGTTTCTCCAGCAGTCCTAGAAACATATGGCTCTGTACTCTTCTGGGCTGTAGTTTGGATGGGGAGGCCACAGTCCACGTAAGTGGTGCCACTGCCATTAGTCAGATGTACCTTTTGTACTTTCCACAGATGGATGACAATCTTCGCCAAAGCCCTCAACTCCCTCCTCGGAAACTGCCGACACTTAAGTTGACTCCAGCGGAAGAAGAAAGTAATTCCTTACAAAGGCTGTCACCCTGACAGTCATTGTGCTTTGTGTCCAAAGTTAGATGATTGGTGCAGTAATATTATACTAAGTGTGAGAAGGCAAAAAGGAAATGCCATGAATAGGTACAAGGAAGACTCTAAAACAAAAGAAACTTTTTGTGACATCTATTTTTTTTAATTATGAAGCTTGTCTTTTGGCTTGGCAATACACTTTGCAAAATGAATGCTGACCAAACTTGGGGGAAAGAAGAAAACACATTGTACTGTATATAAAAAAGCCTGCCTTAATCTTGGCAGCTTTTTGCCTTTGGTTCACATGTTGCTGACCAAAAGCTCCATTTCTGTTCTGAATGTGCACTCTCAATTTATTCAAGTTAATTTGTTCATTTAGTTTTCTCAGACCAGTCTGAATACCTAACATGTGGCTCTTTGGCTGAGGCTTTTTTTTTCTGTTTAGAAATCTGATGCCTATTTTAGCTGTTAGGAAAAATATATTATTCTAATATTGTATTTACTTCAATAGAAAAGTCTGTATTTAACTTTAAAAAGCAATGAAGAATGTGCTTTTTAATGATGCTTTCATAAGTCTAATCTTTTGGGGGGTTAGTACCATATATATAAATATTAAAGGTGGTTACTTATAGTATTCTTCTGACTATATGCAGTTCAGTAGAACGTTAGTATTTGCTGATTTGTTCAATATAGGTTAGCAAAGGCTCTTCTAGTTTATTGAGTGAGTGTGGCAGCTTTAGACCTATGTATTTGTAGTACATTTTTAACTCTAGTCATCTCTTTCTCAGATTAACTTCAGGACAACTGAATGTGTTGGTTGTCATTGTTATGCCAGGTTGTAAAGTCTTACTGAAACTTGCCCAATGGTTAGACACTACTTAGGAGGAGCCCACCGCCAGAGCAGTAGAAGTAATACCATGCGTCTGGTCCAGGTTCACCAGACTTGGCTCTGACCAGTGTTCTTTCATAAGAAGCATATCATGCAGTCAAAAGCTTTATGGCAACTAATTATTTTCCGTATAGTTTAACTACAGGTTAAAGATCCAATGGAATAATCAGAAATAGCAGTAGATTTTATGTTATTTTATTTTTTCCTTTTTCTCCCCAAAGCCCCCAGGTACATAGTTGTGTATTCTTAGTTGTGGGTCCTTCTAGTTGTGGTATGTGGGACACCGCCTCAGCATGGCTCGATGAGCGGTGCCACATCCGTGCCCAGGATTCAAACTGACGAAACACTGGGCCGCCTGCAGCGGAGTGTGCGAACTTAACTACTCAGCCACGGGGCTGGCCCCTAGCAGTAGATTTTAAAGAATATTTTCTATTTATTGATTGCTAACTGGATTTGCTCAAAGGATTTGCTGTGCAGGTAATTTTACTAAAAATAGAATCTTGTTTATTTTAGTGGCTGAGGTGCTTCCATTGTCGTAAAACCACTTCTGGGATTTTAAAAATATAGGACTATGTTTTTGACAGTGTCTTAAAAGATTACTATGGTGCTCAGCAAATCTTACTGTGTCCTGCAAACCCCCGTGTTAGGAGAACAGCTTTGTAGTCAGGTCCTGTGTATTTTGAGCTGAGTGGGGCTCAGCTGTGTTTGACCTGCATCCTCCCCATTTGTTCTGTATTTAGGTAGCTATTTATACAGGAGTCTTTAAGTTACTGTAAATACTTTTTCTTGAAAGTTTTAATTAAATGAGAAACAAAGTAGTCTTCAAAATCTTGTTCATCTCTTTGGACGCATTTAGGGATAGTAATTAATGAGTTTCACGTCACTTCTGCAACAGGCAGGAGAGTGTGTGTGTCTGTTTTGTGTTACTCCGCTGTTAGATTCCAGCAATCTGAAATCCGTGTGAATATTCTCTACTGAAAATCGTGACCACAGGACTTTATCATCCCCTCTGGTTGATGTATATTGGAGAAGGGTGGTTGAGTACTTTAATCAGACATCTGTTTATGCTTTAGTCAGGGTTAGTCATTTTCAATTATGATTTATGTTAAAACTCCCAAAAAAGCGTTTGAAGTTTCTTAAGTTGACAAACACAGGACAATTAAGATTAGTTTCTGGAAAAATAAGAGATCTGTGGGAAAAAGATTTCTGTCAGTCCTAACAGATTCTAAAATCAAATGGTAAATTTTACTTCAGGTTTCTCCATGGGCAAAGTCAAAAGATAATACTGGGTTATATGAATTTTACTGTCAGTAAAACTATTGATGTCCATGAGTAAGAAAAATGTGTTTAAATTTTTATAAGAATGTCAGAGATCATGTTCTTAAGGACACACAGACTTCAGGCAATAAGCATACTGTAATGTTTCATGTGTTGAAAGTTTAATCAAAAGACATCATTTTAGAGTAAGAACGATTTGTCCTTTTTTAGTAGAGAGGATGACTGTAAATATGTCTTATTTACTTTTGGTCATTTCTGCTTTCAGCTACCTTTAGCCTTACACTGTATATAGATCATGATGCATCCAGACCACCTTTCCTAATATGCAACATGTGATTTAGATAAGTAAGCATTTATCTCTTGGGTTACTTAGTTGCACTTTTTTGGTATAAGCCCATGAGATGCTAAGAAGCTATAGCTGAGCACAAACCGCTCCAGGATCAGCCACTCATACAGGGAGCTCTTAGAGAGGAGCAACTTTCCAGCCTGGACGTAGAGCTTGTGATTAGCCTGTCAGGATATGCTTTGGATAAAGTTTGAGTTTGCTGAGATAAATGGTCCACAGTCTTAAACAAACTATTGTGAGCCACTGTCTTTTGGAGGTGGTGATAAAAGGGGCTATGTTTGTGTTTATGTTTGTTGGTAGTATAGGATTAGGAAATTGGTCAGATAATTTCCGTAAGGTAAAGATCCTCCATCAGCAGACTGTCGTCAGTCATCCCTAAGACGGGCCATTCTCGTTCCACTAAAGAAACTGGAAAGAAGCTTGAGGATCCTCGTTCCTTCAGGAGTGGTCGTTTTCCCCTACACAGGCTGGCATTGACAAATCAAATTTCAACTTAGGTATGTTTGTATTTTGGGAGTTCTAGACGATTGGAGATTTTATATTAAGCCCAGCATTTTGATTTCCATTTGTAATTTCCATTCATTTACTATTAGCAGATATATTAACATGAAGGAATGGGGAAGCTTATTTCAACCAGAGCTAAGTTAAAATTTTCAGAAGTCTGCAAAAACAGAAAAAACTAGACATCCAAAGAGACAGAAATTGGTAACAGTGATAGTAGCTCAGAAAACCAATTTTTTAAGGTAGCTTCATGTGATAAAAGTGGTATTTGAAGTTGGTAGTATGTTTTCTTAGAGCCTCTTCCAAGAATGTACATTTATCAGACCTCTTAGATTCTTTTGACAGTTTTTCATAAACTGTCAAAAATTTTAACCCTTTTAAAACCAAAATATAAATGCTTAGAGGTAAAGACAAGAAGCTGAGTGATGGATACGTAGGATCTCTACTATTTTTGTAACATCTTGTGAGTCTATAATTACTTCAAAATAAAAGGGTTTTAGAAAGTAAATTCAATAGAGTAAATTTATTATCTACGTAAACTATAATTTAAAATTTAATGCTCCAAATATAGTTTTCAGTATTCATTTCCAGATGAATAAATACATAATATAAATTAAATATAATTTATTTCATTCTTGAGTTTAAAGAAAAAAAACAACTCAGGTTTATAACAAATGATTATCTAAAGATCTATTTTGCCTTACCAGAAAAGAAAAAAATAACCTAAAAGCAGGAACTCCTTTTTCCTAGGATATAAAAATTCTGTGATTTTATGTTTGCAGTGGTATCTTTTTTTTCCTACGGTACCTGGTTTACTTTTGAGGATAAAATATTTTAAAGAAAGTCCTTCTGTGTCCTCACATGGGAGCCCGCCGTTGCTGTGTGTGTTTTCTCTGACTGCACGGCAGGCCGGGCTATGCACCGGCACCACACCTTAAGACCGGGCGGCATTTTGTTTGACTGACTGCTTTTTGTTTTAAGTTCACAGGGATTTACTAATTGACTTTGTCTTGGTTTGGTTATTTTTATACTTGAAATCCTGAGCAGAGTCCCAGAGTTGAATTTGGGTTGTGATGACGGTGTTCTGTACATGTTGTTGGCATGCAGAATTATCTTTTGCTCTTTTTCTTGTTCAGCTCTGTGGAATTTACATTGACCTTTCAGTGTTTTCATATTTCTCAAACAGATTATTAAGAAGTTTGTTGTTAGTTACATGAACCAAAGGTCAATAATCTTATCATCCTCGAAGGTTTAGTTGAAGTTTCGTTAGAGCTTGAAAAGGCCGATTTTCACAGAGGTGTAAAGGTGAAGTTTTCTCTTTAAGGGTTTGCCAAATAATTCACCCAAAACTCTCGTTGGCATGTAGTGTTTGCTAGGACCCCAGGTTACCTGCCCTACACTTAAAACTGTTGTGATTGAGGAGGAGAAGTATTCTTGGAATCAAAAAGTGTACAAAAACTATTAATTCCAGACGAGGAGGCAAATGATTACTGGTGAGAATGAACATTCTTGAACAGTGATATAAGAAAGGGCAACTCTGGGTTGGATTTTTGTAACTACAGAGCAGAGTGTTATGATAGGAGAGTATTCAGAGCAAAACAAAGCAGTTTCTTTAAAAAAAATACAGGAAAACAAGTCTCTTTGTATCCTCATTATTATTCATTTGGAATTATACTGTAAGATCTTTAAAAACCGTCTTTTAGTTCTTTGGAGAAGCAGTTCCTAAGGTGTATTTTGGCAGAAAAGATTGTTACTGTGTGAATAGGGGGTTCTGTGGCCATCTCAGCGTGGGAAATGCTGGGTTATAGAGTTAAGTTGCTGTGGGCTTTGCAGAACCTTTGATGTGCTGTTGTGTGGTTTCAGTCTCCAGGAAGGGCCTATATTTTATACACCATTTCCCTAATTTGTTTGCATGTGGATTTTAAAAAAAATAAGCGTCTTGTGGGATTTGTGTTCTGAGAAACACACTTAGGGAAATGCTGCCCTAGCATGTTTTTGCTTGTCTGTGCTCATTGCCAGGGTTTCCTATTGTCGGGCGCCCCTCTGGTGAGCGGCGGTCAGATGGAAAGAGACGGATGAGGACTCCCTTGGACCATGATGTTGAGAGAGGGGTGGCTGTGGGTTAGAGAGTTTGCTTTTTTAGGCACTTGTGAGGCCCCTGGTCAGACCACCCCTTTCCATAGCGCTTGGCTTGGACTAGCTGTACAGGGGTGTGACCTGCTGGTTTCAGAGAACTCTGTGGTGCTTAGGTGTCTCTGAGACAAAGGGAACCAACTTGGAATGCCAGAACAATTTGCGAACCATTTTTGGCTATGCTTTAATGATGCCAAAAAAGCAATGGGTATTTATAGCACGAAAGTCCCTACAAACTGGTCATTTTATACGTATGTACACATACAGCTGTACATGTACGCACACACACATACACACACACACACACACAATGTCGTAGAAAGTTTACAGCTGCTTCAGTGACAAAGCAAAGCAGTATGTTTTCAAATTCTATTCTGTTACTGAAGACATGGTCTAAACAAGGATTGTGTGTGTGTGTGTGTGTACATTTTTTAGGATGAGGGTTTATAGTTTTCATTAAATTCTCAGCAGTTTCTGTATCCTAAAACACTTAAATCTCCCTAGACCTCCAAATTTCAGAGGACTTAGTATGTTTGATTTCATTTCAAAGTACTAAATCAGATTACTAATCAGACATAAAGATGCTTTTTGTTTGTTTTCTGCAATGTGTCCAGTTGCACATTTGGAACTCCACGCTTTGGCTGTGTATTTGCTAGAAGGCCTGCCTGTGGGTTTTGAGTTGTGGTGTAATGCTGAACATCTAACCATGGGAAAAGCAGTTCGATCTTGATTCTGATTCCTCAGTTTTCCTCATGCAAATTCAGAGAAACGCCTTTTAATCATTTAGTTTACATATCCCAGATCCTTGGAAATCATGCAAAATGAGCTGCCAGACTTTGCGTCAGTCCTCAGCGAGTCATACGCTGTAGAGAAGGTTGTGCTGGCCATTCGTTCTCTGGACCGCTGGCTACTTCTCTTGCAATGCTGGCATCTTTATTTCTTGGAGAAGGAAGGGTGTACTCAAGCTTTTATGTTAATTGCATAAACATGAACTATTCCTCTTCTGACTCAATGT